TCCTTGAATAGAAAAGAGGAGATAAGATCTAGTGTACATTGAGGGGCTGGCATTAGATGGAAGTGAGATACTTTATCCACAGGCAACAAGAGAGAAAGTAGATATATGGGTACAAATGCAGATAGTTAGAGAGATGTGGTAGAAGTATGTGGACTTAATAATGATTGCTTCCGGGGCGCCTGGGTGGCGCAGTCGGTTGAGCGTCCGACTTCAGCCAGGTCACGATCTCGCGGTCCGGGAGTTCGAGCCCCGCGTCGGGCTCTGGGCTGATGGCTCAGAGCCTGGAGCCTGTTTCCGATTCTGTGTCTCCCTCTCTCTCTGCCCCTCCCCCGTTCATGCTCCGTCTCTCTCTGTCCCAAAAATAAATAAACGTTGAAAAAAAATTAAAAAAAAAATAATGATTGCTTCCATTTTCTCAGTGAGAGGAGGAGCTTGGTCATAAGCCAAGAAAGAAGATGAAAGGGAAAGTCTCAGGAATTTAAGGCGATAGGAGAAAACCTGTCCAGCAAAGTCAGAGTAAATGGATTAAGGAAATATAGTATGTTTGCCAGGCAGTATTATGGGGCCAGTTGAGGTTAATGATTATTTGATGTAAGACTAGTCAGCAAATTTGAATGTTTATCTTAAGCTACATTCAGCTGCCAGGATGCAGGTATCGAGCAGGCAGAGCAAATTTGATTTAAGCTGGACGGTGGTCAACCAAGGAGTACTTTGAAGCAAGAGAGGAATAAGTGAGTTTGAGTTGAGAGCATATGCAAAGGACTGATCATAATTATCTATCTATCTATCTACCAGATAGATTATGTAATCTATCTGATTGTAATTATCTATGATTTAAAGTAGATTACAAAGGAATTGAGGACATGAAAGGATGAGGGACACTGTGAAGATGGTGGAATCGATGAAATAAAAGGTCTGTGAAGATCAGAGGATTGTTGGAGTTGGGATACTAGTGGGAATGAGCTGTAAAGAGGTGATGTTTGCAGAATGAGTTATTTGGAACTGAAATTACAGATTGGTTGCAGGGTATTTTTGTTTCGTTTTGTTTTTGCAATGACAAGGTCAAGGGTATGACTAAATAGCTAGAGGATTAAGTCACCAAAGGAGAAAAATCAAAACATTGCAAGGTCAGGTATTATAAAAAGTTAAATGAATATTGAAATTGCTAGGGATTATGACAGAAGTACTGGACAGAGTGACAGTAAACAAAGAGGAGGTAAAGGACTGCAACAGAGAAGGCAATGGGGGGGGGGGGTATATGGCATAGTAACAGGAGATTGAAAGTGGAGTATTATTAGAGAGTGGGGAAGAATGATCTAGAAGTGGCATTGAGGAGTAAGACCCCCAATTCATTTCCAGGCCAACTGTTGAGGGGGATATGGGAGTTAAAACCGACATCATTTTAGAGGGCTGCAGGGAGAGGCAGGGGTCAGCTACTATTTTGTATATTTTGAAGTTATGTCATAATAAGCACCTGTATTAATAGAGATGCATTATATTTTCTGTATATTCCATGTTCTTTAGCTATAGTTTTCCTTTGCTTCTGGTGATACTTTTTGCCTTGAATTGTATTTTTGACCTGATATTAAACATATGCTTGGCTTTCTTTTGGTTAATTGTTGCCATTTCCCATCTTTTTGTTTTAACTTGTCCAACCTTTCTTTTAAATGTCTCCAGGGGTGCCTTGGGTGGCTCAGTCGGTTTAGCATCTGGCTCTTGATTTTGGCTCAGGTCATGATCTTGTGGTTTGTGAATTCAAGCCCCATTTTGGGGCTCTGCACTGTCAGTGCAGAGCCTGCTTAGGATTCTCTCTCTCTCTCTCTCTCTCTCTCTCTCTGCCCCTCCTGCACTCACTCTCTCTCTCTCTCTCTCAAAATAAATAAACTTTAAAAAACTATGTCTCATGTAGACATTATATTGCTAGATTTTTTTTCTTTTTTTTTAAATGTTTATTTTATTTTGAGAGAGTATGCATGAGCAGGGGGAGGAGCAGAGGGAGAGGAGAGAGAGAGAATCCCAAGCAGGCTCCCACTGTCAGCGCAGAGCCCTATGTGGGGCTTGATCTCGTGACTGTGAGATCATGACCTGAGCTGAAATCAAGAGTTGGTCCTTTTACCAACTGAGCCACCCAGGTGCCCCTAGATTTTTTTCTTTTTTTAAGTTAGGCTCCATGCCCAATGTGGGGCTTGAACTCGTGACACTGGGATCAAGAGTTGCATGCTCTACCG